CTGGCTTATTTGATTATTTTTGTTGCTGTTCAGCAGATCTAGGTTGCAGAAAGACACAGAAGCAGAAAAAATCAGTAAAGTGATTTAAGATATGCCACATTACTTTGCGTTTGCCGTGGGCTAAGAGCATACACAACAGCAGTTACCACAGATCCTCAGGCACGTGGTGACTTGTGGGACTGTGGAAGCTGGAGCGGGTGTCTGAGACCCTTAGAATCCAAAACTTGGTCTGCAACTTTTTCAAGCAAATGCATGACACCTTGCAGTTTGCAACCCCGAGGAGCACCGCAGCAAATACATTTCTAAGTAGAGTATGGCTAGTTGTTACTCATACTCACTTGCATTTTCAAATATTCTGTTTCCTGTGCCATTTGGACACATTTCTAGCTGGATACATTTCTTTCTCTCTCTCATTTTTGAAATTCTGTCCAATGCCAAAAGTTTATTAGAGAATTAAATTATTATTTTTTTTTCCTTCTCTCTCTTCCTCTCTCTCTCTCTCTGTTTGCCTGACAGCGTTTTCCAACAGAGGATCATCTGATGATTCACAGGCACAAACATGAAATGACTTTGAAGTTTCCTTCAATAAAAACAGATAATATGTTATCAGGTAAGAAGACACAAATTCAAGAGTCAAGATACCTATTCAGATGGTATTGAAAGCGTGACTCCTACTGGAAAGCTACTGGCAAAATACCTCCGAGATTGGTTTTAAAAGCCCCAGCTCCAGTTAAATAACAAGTAGATATGTAATAAGCTAGAATACATGTCTTTGGACAAAAAGACAGCTGCCATTCTTATGCCTTCCCACAGGTTTGGCATGAGAGGTGGAGAAATTGTTGAACCTCAGCATGCTGGCAGCTCTATTGCTGACTCCCGTGTCAACATGCCAGTGAAATATAGGCACTTAAGCGCATGTCACCTGGGACCCCAGCAGTGAGTGTGTTAATGAAGTGCATTTGTACTGTTCCTGTAAGACTCACTATTTTAAGTTTGACAGGCTCACTGCAGCAACCGTAACAGACCACATCCTGTGAGCCACCTTTAGGGTGGCTCAAGAACTGCCCACTGTAAATAGCCATAACCAGAAAGGTAAACTAGTGGGTAATGTCACCTTAAAGGTAACCATCTCTCTCTGCACTTCCCCATCATACACAGAGGTTATTTGGTATTATGTGCAATTTCATCCTTTAGTTGCTTATGTAGTTTTTTCTTACACAGTTTTTTCATACTCTTGTCTGAGTAACCACACATCGGTGGCTTGCTGGCATTCAGCGAATGCTGGGTAAGGTCAAAGCTAGCCTTAATCTTACCGTTCCTCTCCTCTCCTATTCCCTTTCCTATTGTGTATTCCATGGGCTATAGTAATGTATTATTAAGAATAAGATCACTAGGGCTTTTCAGGTTTCAAAGTAATTGTAGAAAAAAACTGATGCAAATGTGTGTGTGGATGTTAACTGGTGTTTGATATTTATGTTTTGAAATGGAGTTCTTCAAGGTAAATTGTGCCGTTTTAGGTACAAATATATCGTGATCAAAGGGTGTCCAAAAGACTAACTCGGGTGTCCAAAAGACTAACTCTTCTATAGATAAACTGTTTCCATTTTTATGAAAATCATAATTGAGTAGCAATTGCTTGCTTGCAAATATTTGATTTAGACTTGGTGGTTGTTGTGGTTTTTGATTTTTTTTTTTTAATTTTTATTGGGACTTCAGGCACCAGTGAGAAATCAGACATCCCAGATTGAATTTGTTTTCCTCTTACACTTGGAAATGCCATAGTGGACTAAGTTCAGAAAGAAACAGTACTCGGCACGTTGAAGAGTAGGGCTGTAAAGTGCATGCATGCCAGCTATGCCCGCAGAATCCTGTGTTTGCAAGCATGAGTGAGAAAATGCTGTTCTTGCACTTGGCCATGTCCTCTGGCAGTGAAACTACTTGAAGACATCCGTGCTGTGGGCACATTCACTCTGTGAAAGTGCTGGCTTTTGTTACAACTTTCTGTTTGGCAAGATTTTTGCTCGAGGGCAGTTTCTAAGGAGTATATCCTGTCATCAGGAGTCTCCTGAGTAGAGTAGCTTCATTTATGTTTGGTAACTTCTGTGATTTAGCTGTCCTGCTCCTTCCAATGGGTTGCTTTCCCAGGCAAAAAGCTTTGACTGGCTTCCACCGCTACCACCAGTAGTGGGGTCCCTAGACATGCAGTTAGCCAACTAAGTGTATAGAAATGGTGAATTTCATGACCAGAAGGGCTCCAAGATTGCTTCTGAGGGATGTATTCTTTGTGCTTGGTGTATAATGATCCTCTGTAGTATTGAAAGAGTAAAAAGCTGCACGTGTTCTCAAAGACTCTGGCAAATGTGTCTGACCATAATGGCCTGGCAACCTGGTGCTGCTGTGTATTGATTTTTCTTTCTGTGTGTGTTTGGTGGATTTGTTGGCGTTTTGCAATCCTTAGTTTGGAAGCATCATAGATCATCTACTCTCTGCAGGGAGACATTGAAAAATAGTTGTTTCATTACCCACCTAAACCCTGGGGAAATCTAAATACCTTAAAGTTTAAGATGTTTTATTCTTGGATTTCATAATGAAAAATTAATGATATATGGGGAAAAGAGACAGACTTTTCTCTTAGACATTTGTCTTCATGTCTTCCTTCTTGTTTTTCACATTTTTGCTTATTTGACTTTTTTTTTTTTTAAAAATTGTTTCTGTCATCATTAGGTTCAAAGAATTGCAGCAGCAATTGCCCTGTAATAAGCCAGGTGCGGTGTTAGTGTGTGTGTGGTTTTTTTTTTTCCCCTCTTTTTATTAAGCTGCCTAGAAGTTGGACTTTCTCCTTTTTTCCAGTATGTTGTATACTATCTTTTAATGTGTTGTTTGATCCATTCATCATTAGTAATTAGTCATGCAAAATAATGGGCTGTATCCTGTCAGGTAGCCATTAGAATTATTTCCAGAGACAGCTAATCCCTAGTCTGGGGTCAGTATAGTGTCAGTAATATTCAACACACACTAAACATGTCTTCTATGAATTATTATTAGAGGTAGGCACTAAAACTGAGGGGCTGTTGGTCTTGTACCGACACATCGTCTTAGAAACTAAGCAAAAGATGACTTGGGAAGTAGGAACTTCTTTCTTGTGCGAAATCTGTGCTGAGGTCTGAAATATCAGTTTGTAAGTGAGAGGTAAAGTTATGTTTTATGTAAAATTATATGTTGTTATGTAGGTGGGGTCAGTGTTTAATAAACAGGGTTCTGTGGCCTTACTGGAACTATTGGTGCTATGCTGGTTTATCAGGTGTGTCTAGCCAAGAGCTTCCTTGTTATTGGCTAGCTCCACTATATTTTCTTCCATTTTTTCATGCTAGCTGAAGAAGAACAAGTTTCATTAAATCAGGTGACTCTTGAACTAATTCGGAAACTCCGGGTACATACGTACATTAAATAGCTTTCTGTTCTCTGACTGTATTATTAGAAAGGAAGTCCGCTAGAGCCATTTCATTAAAATGCAAGTGATTCTTTTGTTAGATACTTTGACATTACAATCTTTTTTCTATCTTCTTAAATTGACGTTATTTGTTCCTTTTTGTGTATGCATTTTATTTTTGTTTGTTAGAAAGTCTTGTTATGAGTATGGATAGGGAGTCATTGATGGTTTCCATTTCCATCTTTCATAGCCAAAAAAGAGCTGTTTGAGATAACAGAATTGTAAGTTTTGCATGCTAATCATCACCGCAGGAAACTCTGTAGTTAGATTGACTGAAGTAGGTGTCATCTCTTTGCTGTTGTGCTCACTGAACATTTCATTGCTTTGAAACTCTGTTGTGTGTCAAAGCTTTTTTCATTGTAACACTGAAATACTAGTGTCTGTGGGACAGATTGTTCCCTCTGAGTAAGTACTAAAGGCCATGTGGAACTGAACCTTGGGAGCTGGGGACGCTGATATTCCTGTAGTACCAAATTTGGGAGTGATACCTTACTGTTGTTGGGAGGGGGAAGTCCTTCCAGAAGTGCTGCTAGCAGATGCAGGACAGGCCAGGAGTATCTATATAGAAACCTTGTTTCTTCCTGATTCTATTTACTGAAATCAAATCCTCTATATTTTTGTTGGTAAAGCCCACTGTGGAGATAGAAAGAGTCTTCTATAGATGAAAAAGTGTATGTGCTAAAGGTAGTGCAAATGTATCACTTTTCCCAGGTAATGCCTGTGTCAGTGAGGTAACTTATATCATCCTTGATTGGCTTAATTTTTTTTCCTTGTGGTTTACACAGGGAGGTTTATCTAGGCATGAATTTTGTGGAGTGCAAAATGGATACAAGGACAAATAATTTTGTTTGATTTCGTGTTTGCTTCTGTGTCCCTTGCTTTACCAAATAATGAAAAGTCTTCTAAAATTCAACTGATCGGGTTCTGAGTGACCAGAAGACATTAAAAATGTGTTGTACCCAGTATGTGTACCCCAAAGAAAGTCCAACCAGCACTTTAAAGAGTGCATCTTTAAGCAGCAAAGTTCTTGGGAGCCCTCATCTATGAGCCCCTGGGCGAGAGCAGTTCCACCAGGTATGACTAGATGCACCTCTTCTTCTCTCCTCTTCCATCACCTGCTTGAGGTGTCGTTACCTTGAGCTCCTTGGTGCACTTGGGTAGTAACCTGCCAAATCAACGAAGAAACCTTCTTGAATTTCTCAGGACATTCCTCTTTCCTTGCCGCTGCTTGATGGGCAGCCCTTCAAACTTCAGTGCTAGCCCTGTTACTCTGACTTTGTTATCATTGTGTGAAAGTATAACATGGGTATATAACTTCAACAGAGCCCACAGCTGAACAAGCCAAATGCCTGTTATTACTGCACATCAGACTAAACAATTTTTTTTTAAAAAGAAAGATGAAGAATCAAGTTACACGCTTTGGAGCTGTGCTGTTAGATATCTTTTACTGAATCAGAATTTTAATTTGTTTTTCAAAATGAAAGCTTGTTTCACATAACTGTGCTTTGGTTCTCCAGGGTGGTTTTTTTTAAACTGGTATCATGCTTTAAAGTCTTCATTTGTGCTTTGAGGGATGAAACTCTAGGATCCAAGGTAGTTTTACAAAATGCATTCTGGATGATTCAAATAAACTATTATAGCAAGCCAATGTTGCATTTCCTGAGTTGTTTTGAAAGCAGTATATTGAGACTGAGTGTCCTTTCTGAGGTTATTATTTCAGTAATTACAAACCTCCCCCCCAACCAAACAACAACAAAGAAACCCCCACGCACTGCCAAACATAATGAGTATATAACAGAATCTTTTTACTTTACTGAAGACTTCAAATGCCACATTGCCTTACAGCACATATTTTTCAATGAGTGGAAAATGAGGTATCACTTCAGACATTGAGGACAGGTTTTCAAAATGGTCAGCAGCCAAAATACATTCAGTGTATCAGGTTCTGGTCAGAAACTGATTGCCGAGTGCTTCTAAAATCCTCTCCTGTAAGACTCAGTAGGTTAACTTGGGATCAGCACAGGTGAGACCATTTGATCTTGCTCTGGTGCTTTTATGTTGTCCATTTACATTTCTGAGGTTTATTTAAACTTAATGTTTCTTGCAGCCTTTCTGGCCATGAGTATGTCATCAGAGAGGCTGATTATTCACCTGAGTAATAGGCTGAACAAAATACTTATTGCCTAATCTGAACCTTGACAGCCTCTGTGTTCAACCTGGTGGTAAAGGCAAGAGAGGAATAACTTCCTAAGTAATTGCCAGATGACACAGGTTCACCGGTGAAGTGACAGTTGGCTAGAGGTAGATGTCTCAAAGCATAGTAAAGTCGTTCTGGTAGCAGTTGGGGATGGATTGATTTTTACTCGTTGAACACTGGGACTAGGCTGGGCTGGCTGGTCAGTATAATAGCCAGATACCTAGGGTTAACCCAGAGAGACCTCTGTATCCCAAGCTGCCCAGTTCAAAATGCAGCTTGGGACAACAGTGTGCCTGCAGGAGAGCTTCCTGCGGTAATGTGTAAAGTGTGGTGCTAGCTCTGTCTGAGTTTTGGTCCAGATGGGTCTGGCACATCTAGCTGCTGAAGTACAACAAATGAGAGCCCTGTTCTCAGTGAGCCTGCAATAGTTGTGGGCGCTGGTGGTAGCAACAAAAGGTTTGTTTGTACCAACAGGGAACAGTGAGGTCAGGCACAAGCTGTTGGAACTACTAATGCATTTTTAAGTGCTGAGAATTGGGAATATTTTATTAATTCTGGGAGACCTGAATGTGTAACTTATGCTAGGGTCTCCTCTGTGATACTGTTCCCGATTAAAACACAAAGGCTTGCCTAATCTAGGTAAAAGAATTACTGTGGTGTTGAGAGTAGTATCTTCTACTAGTTTGCCCACCTCCTGAGAGAGAACTGGTGTTTTTCAGAGGCCAAATAGTTGATTGCCTCAAGAGCGAAGAAAGCCCACTGGGCTTGGTAGCCCTAAAGTCCTGAAACCAGTGAGTGCAGTCTATATGCAATGTAACTACTATACTATGTAAAGTCTCAGTGTTTTGAAGTCTGGATCTTTATCAGTTCTGCTCTTGTACAAACACAGAGGTTTTGTGGACTTCTGGTTTCTGTGAACATTGAAGGATGAAGTATTGTATGGTAGAAAGGCAGCTCTTGTTTTACATCAGGCCGAGCTGGCTTCCAGAAGGTCTGTGGATAGAGTTTAGACTGGGTGGTTGGTGGTGTTCCCTCCCCGACTGGGAGGAGAGGGGGCTGGCTGTTCTAACAAAATCTTGTTGTGAATTCCTGAGAGACTGATTTCTGGATCACAGAAACTACAGTAACCCTATGAGGAGACCAAGGTAGTAATTTAAGATCACTGTGTCAATACGTAGGTGATGTAAATAGTGTCATTAATCTATCAGTTTCGATGCTTTTAGATATTAAAGTAGTTAATTGGAAATATCAACTGTAGGCAACACATTTGATTTTATCTTCTGCACTGCAAGCAGTCTGAAACACTTTCAGCATGTGCAGAGAAAAGCCGATGAGGCCTTTGTGCATTGGAAGTCACATTCTTGCTCTGGGTTGCTTGTTTTCACTGTTAAAATGGATTTGCTTCACTGAAGTAACCTCTTTTTTTGTCTGTCTAACATTCATGGAATAGATGCTGAACAGATCAGGAACTTCAGCTACTCAGACCTGATCACCACCTTGTTACCCATTAAGTTGCCTCTGACCTAATGTAGCCTGTTGCAGTAATGCCTGATGTCTGGATCAGCTGTGGACCTTGATGGAAAATAGCAAGACCTTATCTATGTTAGCGTATTCTCTTCTGCCCTGCCCCCAAATTCTGGGCTCAATCAACTCTGGAAAAAAAACTTAGGATTTTTGATTTTAGTGAAAGTGGTGCCATCAACTTCTTTATGAAACCTTAGTTTCTCAGCTTAGTAATGAAATTGATACTTGCTTATTTGGTACGGATATACCACTTCTAAAAATAAAACATTTCCTGTATTTGCCTAGAAAGGCAATGATTATCTTTGTTTTTCTACAAAGCAATCATGTTGTTCACTAAAGTAATGTTTAATCCTTTTTGGAAATAAAGTCTTTTTCTCCTGCCTTTTAGTGCACTTCATTTCCAGTACAAACTCCAGTCCAAGGGCCAAAGGCAACAATGGTGTAAATCTACCGAGTTCAGTGAGGTTACCCTAGAGATTAGTTTGGCACTACTTACTTTTAGGATATGGACCTGTAAAGTGCTGAATGTCTTCAGCTCCCATCAATGTCAGCATCTCATTGACTCGGCTCCTTGTGCTGAGTTCTTGCAAGATTCTTGGACAGTCTTATGTTTCTGACTCTGTAATACAGTAGTTAGCTGTGAAAACTAACAGATAAATATGTGTGCATTCCCAAACACTAGAGTTTTGTTTCCTTTAAGCTCACAAGTAGGATGCACAAGCCAAAAGAAATAAAGCAGAATTTTAACATTAAGGACTTGCTTTTTATGTTACATCAGTATGTTCCATCAGAAATATAAATGCAAACAAGTGTGTTTGGCCTTGGAGATTACTTGAGAAGGTCACACCTGTGGGACCACACCTGATACAGGTGGAAATTAGCTTCACCTGGCTTTATAATGGAGGAGGCTGATCCTCCCACTTAGTTTCCAAGTGAAAACTGCATTTCCTTTTGCATGCATTGCTTTTGTTTAGGGGTTGATGTCTGTTTCTATGCTGATTGTGTAAAGTTCATTGTGTCTGGTGACTGTGCCCTGTAAGGGGGAAATAGTAGAACCTGACCCAGCTTAGCTAGGTGGAAGAAGCCAAATTTTTCTTCCAGAGGTTGCTGAAGTGGGAAGCTTTTTTTTGAGGTCAGAATTGGGCCAATATAGGCAACTGGGATTAGTATGATAGAGTTTTCATTCTTTAAAAAATGAATTTTAAACAATAGGGTAGTTGTCAATGACTATGCAGAAGATTATTTTCTAAGAGAGTGAGTCCAGTCTTTCCATAAAATTAGGTACAAAGCATCTTGAGCTGGAATGGGGACTTGGGAAGAAGAAACTAACATGCAAGAGAGGGTTGGTTGGTTTGTTTTAACTGTGTGTAAAACTGATAGGACCACAGGGACTCTCCCCTGCTTTTGCTAATATGGTTCTGTATTGTAATTTTGAGGGGGAGATGGGGAATCTGAGGTGGAGTAGTTAAGAACTCACCTCGGAATGAATGGAGGTGCCTCAGAGCTGACCTTTGAGGAGTCTTTGGTTCCTGAGTTTGGGCTTGATTTTTCACTTCCTGAAGAAAGACTAGCCAAGGTCGTCACTGAAACTACAGTCCACAGGGCAATTTAGCTCATCTGTCTTGCAGGTTTTTGAAAAAGTGGCTGAAAACCTTGTACCTTCTTGAGTCCCTCCTGCTTGTGGCATTAAAGTGAATCCTGTCCTTCCCTGAGTTATTTCTGGGAGGGCAAAATATTCCTAGAGATGAAGGCACACATTAATAATTGTTTGACTCCAAATCTCATGGTTTATATGTATTAGCCACACTTTCAGATATAAAACACATAAGGATGCTTCTTTGTGGTCGAAGTTTAACATTTCATAGCTTTTCTAAATGTCATTTTGCTCCTTCAAAAATTGTGTTAGAAGCAGAACTTCTCGCTGTGGCTAACTTCATGTGTTTTGCGAAGTATATGTGTGTTTGAGGTGGTTTTCAAGCACTTGAAGGCATTAACTAGTGTGTATCTGCAGCGGTTACCTGCGTGCTGTGGTGTAAGTGTGCAATATCATATATATGCACTGTACGTTGTTTTGCATGCACCTATTGTTGGACAATTATATAGACAGTTATATAGACAGTTATAATGACTATTTGCACACATTAAGGATGTGCACTTGCATTACATGCCCTGTGAAAACCTGACCTATTGTCTTTCTGATTGAACAATGACTGTTTTTCTTCACAGAAGGGGTCGTTAGGTGTTGGAATGGGCTGCCCGGGGAGGCGGTGGAGTCACCATCCCTGGAGGTGTTTAATGCTGGACGTGGCACGCAGAGCCATTCTGTGATTCTGTGCTGCCAGTTTTTGGACACTGTAGGCAAGCCCTGGCTGTCTGCAGTGCATAGTGTTGAAAATCAGTGTGGTTTGTTTTTAATGACAGTGTAGTAGGGGTGGGAAGGCAGGGAGAGGTTAGCTAGAACCTCACTTTTCCTGGAAGACTATTTGATTGTCTCCCTTTCTTTTAATATTAAATACCAATGATAATTTCTTGTCGTGTTCTCAGATCAGACTCCTACACCAACACGCTTTCTGAAGAACTGTGAGGAAGTGGGCCTCTTCAACGACATCGATTGCTCCCTAGAGCACGAGTTTAGGAAGGCGCAAGAAGAAGAGAACAACAAAAGGGTGAGTGTGAGCACACTGAACCCTTCCTCCCCTTTTGGTTCCTTGAAACATTAAAGGATGCAGTGTGAAAGCAGATTGAGCTCTCCTACCTGGTAGTAACCTTTTGGTTAGAAACTAGGTGGCACTGTAAGTTGTGACATGCTTTTTAAACTATTGAAACAGTTGACAAAAATAAAACCCCCAAACCAACAAAAAACCAGCATTAAATTTCCCAAAAGTGTGTAAATTTGCCAGGGTTTGATTCCAAGCCTCTGCTTTTAAGTGAACTATAACACAAACCACACACCTCTTGAGGGAGAGGCTTGGGGAAATTATATCATCTTTTAAGTGAGGATTGCAAAGTTGCTCAAATACATTACAGGGAAATGTGGATTATGAAGGGGTGTTTACTTAAAAAAAAACCAAAACGAAACCACTTCA